TTACCAAGGCATCCTTAACTTCACATACAATACCATTTCTATCGTGGTAAATTTTCTGATTTAGAACCTCTTGTTTGAAGTCCATACACATGACTTGAACTGGGTTAAAATTCATGAACTTAGGAATATTTACTAATTAATGTATTTCATAATCATACACTTCAATTTGGAATGAATCAAAATGATGATTCTATAACAATTTCCTACATCCCCAAGGATGTATCATTAAGTTTGAGCAACTGAACCAAGTTCGAACCTTTTTTTTTATTAATAAATTAAAAACGACCAGGTCCCAATAAAATGTGGCGCTATTGAAACGACATTTGGGGGTTAAATGAGTTGTTGTAATGAGATTATATGATGTGGTGTCTCATCCCATCCTCTTGTTTTACAAATGAAATGTGGACCCTGAAAAAAAAAAAGACAAGTCTCCTCCTCCTCTTCTTCTCTTTCTTACTTTCTTTACTTCTTTTACTTTTTATTAATGGATTAGATAAAATGTGGTGCTATTGAAATTACATGACTTTGTTTACTTTTCTTTTTCTTCAAGGATTGGGAGCCAAAGGTCTGTTCCAAGAGTCAAAACTGTTCTGACCATCTCATTTTACGTCTGCTCAAGTCTCTGTAGCCCCTAGGTGTTCATCAGTGTATCCCAACAGTTGAAAATTTTTTTAAAAACTTTTGTTTATATTCTTTGTCTATGTAATTATTATCAAATCATTTATGTGCAATTATTTATGTTATGATAACTTCGTATGCTGTATATTAAAGAAGAAAATCATTGAAGGAAAATTTTCTTTTAAAAGGGGTTGGTGCAAGGAAAAGGTTGGGAATGTCTGGTCTACATAGTAGCACTTACATTGGGAGCTATTTGGCTTCATCCTGTTTACATACTGGAACCATTTCTGTTGGTATTTTCTAATGTCATATACCACACTATCTATATTTAATCTTGCCCTTACATTATCAATTGGAACTCTGTCCCACTGTTGTCTTTATTTCTCAGGGTCCACATTACACTTGTAAAGCAGAGAATGGGATGAGATACCACATTGTGTAATTTCCTTAGCATACTATTAACGCCTATTATTTTGAAAATGCCCCTTTATAAACTCATTAAACGTACTGTCTTCTTATATTATCTTTGCATTTCAGGGTTGGTATTATTGGATATTTTGCAAACAAGATAAGTAAAGCTAGATATTTGTTCAATAATTTGTTTGTTGATTCGTAACAATTTTTATTCTTCTCAAATATTTATCTTTGGTTTCTGGCTAGATATCCTTAAATTATAACTTTGTAGCACTCGGTTAAGGTACGAGGGCTACAAAGTTACAGTTTATAATATTTAGATAGGTAGGCTCAAAATTTCATCTATTGACGCTTTCAGGTCACTTAGCAGTCCACCAAAAAGCTGTGGCTTGAGCCTAATACTGATATTAAAGGAAAGTTTCAAATGGGGAAAACTGTAAATATATTATTAAAGTAACTGAATTGTGTTCTATTCATCATAATGAATTATTGTCAGGTCCTGTCATTATTGACCGTTAACCCCCTAGTAATTAATAAACCTAATAGAGTTCTTAATCAATTTATGGGTTTGGTTTCACTAGGACAAGAGGGCACAGAAGATATGGGGGGGAAGGAATTTCATTTGGGGCTCTGAAAAATTCGTTACAGAAAAATGTCACATTTTCTTCTTGAAATGTCTGCTTTAGAATAATGTGATGTTGGCAATATGTTTATTTGAAAAATGATCAATATGATATGTTCTTTGAAATTCATTGCCCTAGGACGTATATATGTTCTCGTCTGTGTTAGACTTCCTCCAAATGATAGATGGGTGAAGGATAGATGCAGCCCAGAATTTAAGCAGATAAACTAGTGGTGACACAGAATGGTGCAGACTTTCTCATATTCTTTTTCTCTTTTCTTTGGTCTGGACTAGCTATTTGAACTTCCCACATACTCTTGCCAGCTGCCCAAACTATATTTTTTCCACATTTTCTCAATTTTTTGGTTTCCGAATAGAAGAACCGAAATGTTAGTTTAAAAATATTAAAGAATAAAGCTTGTTCTAAATGGCAGTTTTCATTAAAAAATTCGCAGCCTTTTTGAGAAAATTATGTTTTTGTAATTTTTTTTAATTGCAAAAATAGCATCCAATATTGCGCTGAAACGATTAAAATGTCATTAAACGTGCATACCTTAACGAAAGAACTAATTGTGGACAACAAATTCCATTTCAAGGAAACATTTCTATCTTCAATTTTGTAGTTGTGGGAAGTCCCCGAGAAAAAAAAAAAAAAAAAAAAAAAAAAAGAAAGAAAAAACACACACACACACACACACACACAAAATTCAACATCAGACGTTTCCCCAAAAATTGTTGACTTGATGGTCGTTTCCGAAACTTCAACCAATGGAAATCTAAAATAATCGGAAGACTAAAAAATAATTATTCGGCCGGTTTAAATGAATTTCCGGATTGTTTGTTAGAGGCTTGTGCGTTCGTCTTTATGAATCCTTGAACTCGCATATTTAATGTATCCTTGTGCACAGGAATTTTTCCAGAAATTTTTAAAACAGCTAAGATTAAGCTAGTTTTCAAAAAAGGCAACAAAAATAAAATACAAAATTATTGACCAATTTCTCATTTGTCGTTTTTTTTCAAAAATATTAGACAGACTTTTTTTACGTACGAATGGAAATCTCTGTTAGTAAACAGGACACGTTTTCAGTTTGCCAACATCGGTTTCGAAAACAAAATCTACGGAAACAACAATCTTTTCTGGTCTTAAGGATATCGCGTCATCCATGGATGAAAACTAAGCATCCATTGGAATACTTTTAGATCTTTCAAAAGCTTTTGACGTCATTGATCATAACAAATTACTCTCAAAATTACCTTCGTTTGTAAATCGTGGTGTTGCTCTAGATTGATTGTGTACGTACCTTATACAACGATCTTAGAGAGCAGAATACCTTACTGGAATAATGGAACATTATGTACACACCTTTGTTTTCGGGGTCCTCTACTACTACAAAATTTAAGCTAGTGTTTTCTTTCAATTGAAATTTGTTGTCTATAATTATTTCTTTCATTAATGCCATGTACATTTTTGAAAATTTTAGTTTTATTTTAATGTGTGCAATTTTCAAAATAACCCGAACAAAATTTTCTCAAAAAGCAGCTTAAACTTTTTTCTTTAAACTTTTGGTAGGGATAGTGTATAATGTACTCTCTGAGATGACATAAACATCACATTGCTCTATTCTTTTGTTTTGTTTTTTTAAATTACAAAAATGTATATTTTTACTTGGCTCATAAATATTTACATTATCGGCAATTTGTTCACATTATGTCATTTATGAGTACATGTGCTTTAAATAACGTCATATAAAGTTTCTCAAAATCTCAACAGTTTTGTGTGAAAACTAACTCTAAATCTCGCATTTTCGGAAACGCTCAAACGCCATTTTCTAAAAAGGGCTAAAATATTTTTCTTCAAACTTTCCGTGGCTATTGTGCTAATTGCACTCTTTAAGATGACATAAGATTCATTTAGCTGTATGATTGTTTTTTTCAAATGTACACAAATATATTTTTTCAAATATCTGACGCCGTTAATATGTACATTTCCAGCGATTTGTAAACACTATGGCATTTGTGAGTGGAAGTGCTTCAAACACGTTTTTCTAAAACTAAAAAAAATTCTGTGTAAAAGAGCTTCAAATTTCGCATTTACATATCGCTTAAAGGACATTTTCTTAAAAACCGCTCCAAATTTTTCAATAAAAATTACCATTTAGGACGAAGTTTTACTCTTATTTGATATTCCCTAAAGTAATAATTAGGTTCTACTTTTAAAAAACCGAAAAATTGAGAAAATAAAAAAAAAGTACTTTGGGCGGCGATATATAGCAGCTGACAAAAGAATGGGGCAAGACACAAAAGCTGGGCCAGAAAGAAATTAGAAAACTAACTAGAACGAGAAAGTCTGTGCCATTCTATTGCACCACTAGTTAAGCTTGATTTGCTTTAGTAGGAGGCTTTATTGGGAAACTATCTGAGGAAAGCACCCACAAAACGTGAATTCTGGATACGCAACATATTATAGAATGCGAATTACTAAAGAAAGGAACAAGACATTTGGAGTATCAGGGACCCACAAAACGAATTTTTCTGTCGAAAAACAGGTACTTTTCGCTGCATCATTACAATCCTTATGTAAGTTGATACGAGAAAGTAAAAATTGGGCACCCTACATTTAGGCTGCATGTTCGCAGTCACGGAGTTCTTTTATTCTATGATTTCTGAGAAAAACGTTGAAGCATTTGAAGAAGCGGTAAAGGGGTGACCAGTTTCAACATTCAAATGGGCCACTGTATACTAACAACATAAGTGCAATAACTTTATTTATATAAATATTATGTTAATTTGCGTTTAAAGAAAATATTTTGCCAATTCGAATAATATCCCATCGGGGTTCGAAGGAAAACCTCCACTTTAAATGTATAATATACGGTACGGAAAACAATATTCATTTAGGCATACTGAGTTTTTTAAAAATCTATTTCGTCTATTTTTCCTTATCACGTTTCCTACAACACGTAGCTGAAATACCAAGGGGGTAATTTTTCCTTGTAATCTATAAAAAACAAAAACAAAGCTTATCTATGCCCACGCTAAAGGGCATGTACGAATGTGGGAAAATATGGACACGTGCAAAGAAAGATAATATTAATTATTCGTCACTTGCTATACCTACTGGTAAATTGCTCCTATTGCTCTTGAAATTATTGATCAAACAAACTGACTCCGCGAGCCTCAAGCGTTTTGCTGACGTTTTACTGAGTTGTGTTTCGTGCGTTCTCTAAGAGGTTTATATTTAATGCCAAAGTATCAAACACGCAATATAAGAACGTGTAACTACAGAATTATTTATTTTTGGTGACTCATCTATTCGTTCTGAGAAAAGATAATCAGAAGCTTGAAGATGTCTGGCGATACGACCGTCAACCCTAAAAGGGATTCAATGACTTTGGAGATGAAAAGTATGTATAAAAGTAGGTTACTTAAAATTTATACAAAATACTTTATTCTATGGACCATCGAGACAATATTTTCAATTTTTGTCTGCAGATACGAAAGGTCAGGAAATCACTACTCAGGTAGCGACTACTCCCTTGGAAGATAAAATGAAGACAGATGAAATGGATATCGAAGGAGTAGTGCGTTTAATTTTGTCGGTGGGCACTCAGAGTTTCGTTGGATTTGTCATTCAACGCAAAATCACTCCAGAAGTTTCGTGGACCCGCATTGCGAAAGAACTTTTAGAAAATCATATCGCGTTGCACGGAGAATCGTCGGAATTCTTTGAAGCACAGGAACATATTAAGGTACGTAGTGATACGGATTCACGCATTCACATTTATTGTATTACACGAAATAAGAGAAGGGGAGAGTTAAAAAGTAACGTTTGTAGCAGAATATAGTAGGTTAATACTACTCTAAGTACTTTCAGTTTGGAACTATTTCCTTCCTGCTATATACGTTAAAACTAATTTAAATACTTTACAAATATACCCCCGTATAAAGTGTGCTTTATATTGAAAACTATATTTAAAAAACATTTAACCTGTTTTTATCCATCATAACACCTTGAAAAAATATTGATGAGTCTAGACAATGATATAGAGAGCGCAAAAACTGATCCTGCTCTTAGAATACTAAGACAAAAGATCTATTGAATATAAATGGGATGCTAGAGAAATATATAGAAAAAAAAGATGAAAGAAAACCTACTTTTTATTTTATGACAGCTCAAAATATTACAACAGCACTGAAATTTACAAACAAAAGAAAATACCACATTTTGTAGTATTCCCAAAAAAGTTATCGTACAGTTATGTTTCACAAATCATATGACGTCAATTTATAACGTGTAGGGTTCCTATTTGCTTTGTTTATAACCTCCACTCTTCGTGGCATGAATTTCCCCAACCCTGCTGTAGTTGCGGGGTCAATCGCGGGAGCAACTGTAATCGAGTATTGAATACTGTGTATTTGGGTTCACTGACCTTCTGAAAAAAAAAAAAAAAGTTATTTCCAAGAACCATATCCAGCCCGTTAACATGGAGGTTTTCTGATAAGATGTTAATATTTATATTGAGTTTCATCATACGCAGACTACGCACTCCTAAGGCACTCATATACCCCAGACTAGTGCGGATCCACCGACATTCTATCGAACCAGAAAAGTTAGTTTTTGATCCTTTATTTAGATACCCTGACAAAATTTTATCGATTATGCGAGTTGCTTTACTCACACAATACATTTTCCGGACATGATACGTTTTACTTTCTCGTTACGGAGTAGAAAGTTATGTAATACTATTAAAAAAACGGCCCTGGTAATGAAAAAGTGAATAAATCCAGTTGTTAAATTTAGAAAAAATCATATAACACGTGGTGTAGCCAGAATCCACGTTTGTGGTCCTTGATACTAAAAAATTGAATGTCAGCCAAACGTTCGTCCGTTCGTGAACAACGCTAGCGGCTAAATCGTTCAGCTGTTTTTCTCCAAAATTGATATTCCCTGGTCGATCTGACTAATGTCGCGGCCCCTTCAATTTGAAATCGATATTTTAATTTTGGGGATACTTTTCATGAAGCCACTGGGCCATTAAAAAAAAGTGTTTCGTTTTTTATTACATTTTGTTGTTGGATAGTGCTAAGGATGTTGAAGAGAATGGTGTAGGTCTAATGTTCGTTAAAAACTCCGATTTTTCGAAAAATGCAACAGTTCAACATTTTTTCGCAGTTTTCCTACAACTAAAATATTAAAGACAAACATTTTTCCCTTAATGAACCTGTTCTTAAGGATTGGTTTTGAAATAAGGTCATATATAAGTTTTCTAAAAAGTGAGTACTTTTCACGTAATTATGCATGAAAATATGGGCGACAAACTACTTGCTGTTTTAGCACCACTAGTTGTTTTTCAACATACGAGTATATTTCGCATTGTACTACCTGATAAGGGAAATGAAAGTAAGAGTATGTACCTAGTGGATTGTTCATTATGAAAATTGGCATTGGAAAGTCAAAGCTTTGAAAACTTGCTGAAACATATATTTGAAACGTAGAAAGAAAGTTACAATAAATTACAGTCGTAACTTCGTAATAAATATTATTTACAAGATGGAAGAAACAAATAGCGAAATGCTTTCTCTTACACTACGTGGCTGGTGGGACGTCGTCGTGCCACCATTCCTTACATATTCTACTCTGTATCTGTATCTGGATGATTTGTTCCAACAAAACCAGCTTGGCTGCTTCACACGGATTAATCCAGGGGCTAATAGAGCAAGACCTTACTCCGTCAACACTGTTTCCGTTTGCGTCGGCCACACTCCAATAGTGGAAGTCGCCGTAGTACTGGTTGTCAAGCGGTGTAAGAAAGAGATGAGCTGTCACACGCTCTTGGAGAACAGTTGAAGTCATTTTCTATACGAACCACAGGGCTAAAATACAGCGAGATTAAGGATTCTCATTCGTAACCAAAAGCCTAAGGACAGAACGCGCGGTTATTTTTTCCATACATTTTAGCCATACACTTTTACCTTTTTTATTTTTTTCTCTGGACTTCTTTTTATGGGTATGCACCCCTTCTATCCGACACTGCGATTACATCAGTAACATATCCAACAGCTTGAATTACGTATCTGAATTTGTTTCGAATCTGAATTTGTTTTGATAAAAAATTACGTCGTTTTTCTATGCATATAGGGCATTTTAAAAGCTTTTAAGAGTATTTTATTGATCATTTTTGGCGATGTTTTAGGTCATTAAAATCCGCCCCTTAATTATTATATTTCCCCATCCTAGGGATATTAGATACTAAATACCCGATTGAGTCGAGTGTGATCGGTATATTTAGATAGTTTTTTATTCGAAATATGCTGGACGGATGTGTCATATTACTGATAAAGTGACACAAGCTAACGTGAGCTCATGCTACGATACGATTTTATTCATTTTAGTGATTATCAGCAAAAAATTCTCAACTTGTTTAAACTTACCTTTTAAAAGGTTTTATTAAAGAAAAAAGTTTTTATGACTTAAACCGGCAATGTATTCAGTTGGTCTGTGACCGAGTGCCGTTTAATATGTATCAATTTTGCATTTTGTTGCTTTATGAACTTATATGTTTATAACGTATTATCTAAATTTTATCCCTTAGAAATTTTAATTTTCAAAATTCATGTAAGTAATTTTTGTCAACGTTTTCGTTAAAATAAATAATTCACGCAGTTTCGTGATACAACATTCACATTTTTAATTTTTACGTTTCAGCTTTTCCCCGGGCCCAAAATTGCCTAGCTCCGGCACTGCGTAGCAGCACAATTCATTATACGTAAAGTCAAACTCGGAAGGGACTGACCTTCTTAAACAACATTTACTCAGGACCCGAGCATTACTTCTTTATTTATAAAAAAACGTCGCTACAGAATAGCACAGACTCTCTCGTAGTAATGATTTGCAATTTCCTTGGTGTGGGCTGGCTTTACGGTCTTGCCCCATCCTCTTGCCAGCTGCCATCTATTGCCACCCCAAATAAGTTTGTTTTACATTTTCTTAATTTTTCTGTTTCCTAATAATAGATTTAAAATATTACTTTAAGAATATTAAAGAAGAGTAAAACCACGTCCTCAATGACAATTTTTATTGAAAAATTTGCAGCCGTATTTAAGAAAATGGTGTTTAAGCGTTACCGTAAATGCGAAGTTTGAAGCTCTTTTTCACAGAACATTTTTGTGTTTTTGAAAAACTCAATTAGAGGTAATTTGAAGCACTTCCACTCACAAATACAATTATGTATACAAATCGCTGAAAATGTGTATATCAAAGGTGTGAGAGATATTAAAAAACAATTTGTGTAATTAAAAAAACGAAAGAATACAGCAAAATTAATCCTACGTCATCTCGAACAGTGCAATTAGCACGGTCCGTTGAAGTTTGACGACAAATAATCCGGTTGCACGCACGGTCCGTTGACGTTTGGATCCATTTTTGAGAAAATGGCATTTGAGTGTTTGCGAAAATGCAAAATGTTGAGCCCATTTTACTTGACCTTATTTCAGGCGCATGTGCTCATAAATACATTAATGTGAACAAATCGCCGTTAATGTGAATATTAACAACGTGAGAGACAAGGCAAAAAAACCCATTTTTTTGTAATATTTTAATAAACAAATGATTAGAGAAAATGGCGTTTATATCATCTTATAGAGCACTATCCATTTCCAAACATTGAAAGAAAAGTTTAGAGCCATTTTTGAGAAAATCTTTCTTCTAAATTTTTTTTAATTACACAAATTGGATGCAATATTGCGCTAAAACTACTAAAATGTCCAAAAACATATACAAACCCTTTAAGAAAATTTGTTTAAGTTTGTGGTTTTAGGAGGACGACGGTAGGACGACGGAGGACGACGACTTTTGAAATTTTTGAAAATTCAGAGTTAACCTTGAAAATCGGACCTATGCCACCTTTATACGTGTATTTTACTATATTCTTACAAGAAATTTAAAAAAAATTGGAGCCGGATTTTGAGAAAATTTTGAAAATGTCTCAGAGGCTTCATGTAATGTACTCCCAAATTTTTTAGAATGTTTTTCAAAATCTCAAAGCTTCGACTCGAGCCTGATGAACTGGGGTTTCTTCAATTTGGAAAAAAAATTACGTATAGTTTCGGCGCTAGTGGTGTTCACCGACGGACGGATAAACAAATGGACACACGAACGGACGTTTTGAAAAAAACAAAACAAAAAAACACACGTATATTACTCAGGTAGCTGGAAGGTAAGGTTTGGATCTTCTTAGGTTTGGGGATTGGGACTACTGTTGAATGTTTTCATAATTTGGGAAAGTAACCTAATTTGATCATAGAAATTATTATATTATTTATAAAGGTAACTATATTACGAGGAAGGTTCTTTAACATAAAAGGTGAAATATTTTCGTGCCCGGAAGATTTTCTTGTCGGTAGATTTTTAATAATAAATACTTCGGTGGGGGATGCAAATTTAACTCGACTAGGAACATCGAAGGTGGGCGAAGAGACAAAAGGGTTTACTTCATTGGAGTGTGGGGGATCTTCGGCATATGAGATAGAAATCACCTAGAAGTCCTGCTGTGTCGTTCTGAGAGAACACTTTCCGTCGGTTTGATAATAGAGGGATGGTTGTCTTTTTACGTAGTAGTTTTCTCGTAGCAAACCAAACTGAGCTCTTTATGGGAAGATACATAATTTTTATATTGTTCGAAATTGTAGTCTTATAGTGCCTGTCTAAAGACTCGAATAAGACGGTTGAGCACACACTGTAGCCTCTGTT